GCGCTTTGGGGCACGGTTTAGTGGTGGGCTTGGTGGTGTCAGGTTTATGGTTGGACTTGATGCTCTTAAGGGTCTTTGCCAACCTGAATGGTTCTAGACTTTGGGCCATGGTTTAGTGGGCATGGGGGTGTTGGGTTGATGGCTGGACTGATGATCTTAGAGATCCTTTCCAACCTTAGTGATTCTATTCTAGTTTTACTTTCATTAAAAACTAATCCAGCCACCAAGCCAGGACACATGAAATTATTCCTCTCCCCTTAACTGGTTTAGTGGTGCACTTGGTAGTGTTAGGTTAACGGTTGGACTGGATGATCTTAAAGGTCTCTTCCAACCCAAACAACTCTGATTCTATGACTTGCTTGTTTGGACGTGAACTCCTGACTGCACCTGAAACACCTGCCTATACGTATTTCTTACACTTGTGTCGTATGGTTGTTATACATCTGTTGCTGATGTCTCCTGTAGGACTGGGTGCTGTTGAATCCCCCCAAGGAATTTGTACTTACAGCTCGGAGAACAAAAGAAAGCAATACGTCATTTGCAAACAAACGCAGGCTTTAGACTCACCTTCGGGCAATGTGTATGTGCTACCATTATCTGGGCTCTGTGTAAGAATTTGCAGTTGTCTTACAAACACATAAGTTCTACAACAAAATAAGTAAGTCTTACTCATTTTTAAAAATTGAAAGACTAGGCTGAGGTGCAGCCAGTGGTATTAGTACAGTGTTTGGACACGCTGCTCAGGTGCCGTCGGTGCTGATAGCTCCCCGTAGCGTTGGCATCCCAAGAGACCGTGTCCGTGGTCGGCTGGTGCAGATCCCGGTATTGCCACAGCTTTCGCTTCTGGTTGCGGCGTGGGCGGGTGCGAGCGCCTGTCCTCACAGCGCGCAGCCCGACGCTGGCACAGCCGCAGGCGGGAGCCGCTCCAGTTGTGCCGTACTCTTGCTATAAATTCCTCAGTCCCTAGGAGTGTTGCATTTTTCTTTGTGTTTAAAGTGGTGGTCAGGAGTTTTGTTGAGAAAACCAGGCTAGCCTCAGTAACTTTTTTCTGAGTATTTTGAGGAGCTTTCACCCATTTACTGATGTGCTGCCACTTCCCTTGGCAAGGTGCTGGTGCCCTGCAAGCCTCTCCTGCCTCTGGTCCTCGGGCATCACCCTCAGAAGTCGTACCAGCTGTGTTGTGCCCAGCTCTGCAGAGGAGAAAACCTGAAACACTTTGATGGAGTGCTGGAACAAGTGTCACCTGCTCATTCACTGATCTGAAGAGGAAACACATCACTCTTTGGCAGTACCAGCTGAGGTATTCCTTATCCTAAATTCAGTTTCAGTCAGAAAAGATACTGGGTGTTGGGTTTGTTTTTTTTTTTTTCTGCGAGATATAACAAAAGTTTGCCACTCCTTCAGAACTGAATGGTGTGGAAAGACCTAATGAAATAATGTGGGTTGTAGGCAACACTGAAGTAATTACTTTCATTAATCCTGCTATAATCAGAGAGAGTTTTGTTTTACACAAAAAAGCTCTTATGTCCCACCTGTCAGTAAGAAAAATTATCTTCCACTATAAATGTTGCTGAAATAAGGGAAAATGAATCAAATCTTTAGGAATTCTTGCTTAACAAGTTCTGCTGAAAGCACAGGTGTTAAAGCCTGTCAGAGCCAGAGCTTGACTTTGATCCTGCTTAAGCAGGAGCAGATTAGTTTGCTTGGCTGATGCCGCTGGGGTTCTGCCAGCACAGTGTAAATGAGATCAAATGTAGGATCTTTATAGGAACTAGGTACGAAAAGATGAGAGTAATTCCTTGGGAGGTTTTCTCCCGTGGGCACTTCCAAATTCTCAAGGCTGGAACAAGCTTCCTTTTGCTGATGCGGTCCTCGTCGTTCTCTCGTGCGCTTTTCTGGGGACTGCTACCAGGCACTGGGTGACGTTTGCATAGGACTCCGTCATAACTCCAAAGAGCAATTCCCTGGAGGGATGCAGTTAGGACTGTTTTTCCTCCCTGTGTATTATATTTATTCACACCAAGCTGCATCTGTCACTTTACATGTAGTTTTTCCACTGTTGTGAGGCTTCCTACCACTGAATAACTCAGCGGACCGTATCACCTCACAACTCACTGCCTCTTCCAAATAGCAAACATCTTAATATTGAGCAAAGCCATATGCGGAGCTAGTATTTTTCTTGAGTGATTCAGGCAGAAGGTTCTGGTCACAGAGGGGAGCTGCAGGCAGATTCAGCTTCGGTGACAGACCGTGATTGCAGTTTGCACGAGTCGGGCTGTCACTGTTGCCCCTGCGACTCAAATCCCCACCCGGTTCTGCTGTTTGTGCCGCAAAGTGGCCCTCGCCAGCAGCAGGGCTGGGAGGTGGCAGGGGGAGCACCCTGCAGCGTCCCGCCGCTCGCTTCGCCTGTGCCCGGGGAAGCCCAGCACGTCCCGCGAGGCAGAGCGCGCAAAGTAACCAGGAAGCAACAGCTACTGCTGCGCACGCGTGTTAGCACAGCATGACCTGCGGTGTAGTTTTTGCAAAATATTTATTACAAAATAAAAGTAAATATGGCAACAAAACTTAAATAGCAAATGATGCGACACTGGCCATAAAGCTCTTGCTATATTATTAGTCTTTTACAATAATCAATAGTCAAGTATGTCTCCAAGGGAAGCTGCATGTGGACAGCTTATTTCTGTATTATCGGCTCTAGCTGTTTGAGATGCATGAGATGTGTGCCTCCTGCTTTCACCTGTGCCCGGCTGTGCCGTGTGCTGGGCTCACTGATCCCCCTAAAACGGACAGGAGGCGGCAATTCCCACGCTCTGTGAAACCCGCCATGCTTCACCCCAGCCCCTCCTCCCCTTTTTTCCTTTAAAAACACAGCAAATGATCCAATGCCCATCCCTTTTTAATAAGGTAGCGGGAAACAGAGTATCAACACTGAAGTACCTATTGTTCCCCTTTGAGTCACAACCTCTCTTGTGAGAGGCTGCTTGGATTTCTTTCCCACCTACTAAAAACTGCTATTAAAGCTCACCAGTGAGAGAGAAAGTCTGTGTTCCCGATGCAAGGACTTTTAGCT